TATGAATTTATTTGCAAATTATGGTGGAAAATAAGTATTTGGTCAATAACAAAAGTTTCTCAATACTTTGTTATATACCCTTTGTTGGCAATGACACAGGTCAAACATTTTCTGTAAGTCTTCACAAGGTTTTCACACACTGTTGCTGGTATTTTGGCCCATTCCTCCATGCAGATCTCCTCTAGAGCAGTGATGTTTTGGGGCTGTCGCTGGGCAACACGGACTTTCAACTCCCTCCAAAGATTTTCTATGGGGTTGAGATCTGGAGACTGGCTAGGCCACTCCAGGACCTTGAAATGCTTCTTACGAAGCCACTCCTTCGTTGCCCGGGCGGTGTGTTTGGGATCATTGTCATGCTGAAAGACCCAGCCACGTTTCATCTTCAATGCCCTTGCTGATGGAAGGAGGTTTTCACTCAAAATCTCACGATACATGGCCCCATTCATTCTTTCCTTTACACGGATCAGTCGTCCTGCTCCCTTTGCAGAAAAACAGCCCCAAAGCATGATGTTTCCACCCCCATGCTTCACAGTAGGTATGGTGTTCTTTGGATGCAACTCAGCATTCTTTGTCCTCCAAACACGACAAGTTGAGTTTTTACCAAAAAGTTCTATTTTGGTTTCATCTGACCATATGACATTCTCCCAATCCTCTTCTGGATCATCCAAATGCACTCTAGCAAACTTCAGACGGGCCTGGACATGTACTGGCTTAAGCAGGGGGACACGTCTGGCACTGCAGGATTTGAGTCCCTGGCGGCGTAGTGTGTTACTGATGGTAGGCTTTGTTACTTTGGTCCCAGTTCTCTGCAGGTCATTCACTAGGTCCCCCCTGTGTGGTTCAGGGATTTTTGCTCACCGCTCTTGTGATCATTTTGACCCCACGGGGTGAGATCTTGCGTGGAGCCCCAGATCAAGGGAGATTATCAGTGGTCTTGTATGTCTTCCATTTCCTAATAATTGCTCCCACAGTTGATTTCTTCAAACCAAGCTGCTTACCTATTGCATATTCAGTCTTCCCAGCCTGGTGCAGGTCTACAATTTTGTTTCTGGTGTCCTTTGACAGCTCTTTGGTCTTGGCCACAGTGGAGTTTGGAGTGTGACTGTTTGAGGTTGTGGACAGGTGTCTTTTATACTGATAACAAGTTCAAACAGGTGCCATTAATACAGGTAACGAGTGGAGGACAGAGGAGCCTCTTAAAGAAGAAGTTACAGGTCTGTGAGAGCCAGAAATCTTGCTTGTTTGTAGGTGACCAAATACTTATTTTCCACCATAATTTGCAAATAAATTCATTAAAAATCCTACAATGTGATTTTCTGGAGAAAAAAAATCTCAATTTGTCTGTCATAGTTGACGTGTACCTATGATGAAAATTACAGGCCTCTCTCATCTTTTTAAGTGGGAGAACTTGCACAATTGGTGGCTGACTAAATACTTTTTTTCCCCACTGTACTTAGCATGTTATCTAACCATTTCCCTAGACTTAACCCTACCCGTGACCCCAAACCCTAACCTTAAGCCCTAACCCCTAGCCTAGATTATGTTAGCAACCTAGCCACATAGCTAACGTTATCCACAACAAAGTGAAATTCATAACATATCATACGAAATGCCAGAGGGTTGGAGGCTGTTGGGATCCAGTTGTTACTTCCTGTCTACTGAGATGAAAACCTGGGAGGAGAGTAGAATGGATTCTCTGAAGAGAGGAGCAGACCTGGTGATCATAAACAGCAAGGAGGAACAGGTGAGTGAGTGAGTGAGTGAGTGAGTGAGTGAGTGAGTGAGTGAGTGAGTGAGTGAGTGAGTGAGTGAGTGAGTGAGTGAGTGAGTGAGTGAGTGAGTGAGTGAGTGAGTGAGTGAGTGAGTGAGTGAGTGAGTGAGTGAGTGAGTGAGAATCAAACATCCCTTGGTCAGTAATGTATCTTCCACTACTGCTCAAATAACACTGACCACCCCAAGGTAAGAGACTACTGCGCTATAATAAAACTGACCACCCCAAGGTAAGAGACTACTGCTGTAATAACACTGCCCACCCCAAGGTAAGAGACTACTGCTCTATAATAACACTGACCACCCCAAGGTAAGAGACTACTGCTCTATAATAAAACTGACCACCCCAAGGTAAGAGACTACTGCTGTAATAGCACTGCCCACCCCAAGTTAAGAGACTACTGCTCTATAATAACACTGACCACCCCAAGGTAAGAGACTACTGCTCTATAATAACACTGACCACCCCAAGGTAAGAGACTACTGCTCTATAATAACACTGACCACCCCAAGGTAGAGACTACTGCTCTATAACACTGACCACCCCAAGGTAAGAGACTACTGCTCTAATAACACTGACCACCCCAAGGTGAGAGACTACTGCTCTATAATAACACTGACCACCCCAAGGTAAGAGACTACTGCTCTAATGACACTGACCACCCCAAGGTAAGAGACTACTGCTCTATAATAACACTGACCACCCCAAGGTAAGAGACTACTGCTCTAATAACACTGACCACCCCAAGGTGAGAGACTACTGCTCTATAATAACACTGACCACCCAAGGTAAGAGACTACTGCTCTATAATAACACTGACCACCCCAAGGTAAGAGACTACTGCTCTAATAACACTGACCACAGTGTAAGTAGTAGGACTGACTCTCTGTGTTGTTCATTCTCTAGGTTCTGAGAGAGTGGCTAGTCAAACTCTGTTGTTTCTACTGCAGGTATTGGAGGAGTGGAGAGTCTAATGGTGGTGGAGTGGAGAACTGTGTGGTGGTACCTTACAGTTCATCAGGCCAAGGAGAATGGTGGGACTATGGGAGATCATCAGGCGAAGGATATTGGCGGGACTATGGGTGATCCATTCCAGAGTACTCGATCTGTGAAAAAGGCTCTTTGTAGTCACTGCTGTTTAAGGAACTCTGAAGACTGATTATATACTTCATGAACTCACCATAGAGGTGAAATAGTGGTATTACAGACTTGCCTATGGGCTTTTTCTCCTAGATTCCTCCTCGCTTCCTCTCTCCTCCCCTCCTTCTCAAAACACATTGGAGAATACAATCCTAGGAGAGGGACCTTGGACCTTCTCCCGATGTCACAGGAAGACCAAAAAGATAATCAAGGACAACTACCACCCGAGCCAATGCCTGTTCACCCCGCTATCATCCGGAAGGCGAGGTCAGTACAGGTGCATCAAAGCTGGGACCGAGAGACTGAAAAACAGCTTCTATCTCAAGGCCATCAGACTGTTAAACAGAAATCACTAGCACAGAGAGGCTGCTGCCTACATACAGACTTGAAAATCACTGACCACTTTAATAAATGGAACACTAGTCACTTTAATAATGCCACTTTAATGTTTACATATCTTGCATTACCCATCTCATATGTCTCCTGAGTGGTGCAGTGGCCTAAGGCACTGCATCGCAGTGCTAGCTGTGCCACTAGAGATCCTGGTTCGAATCCAGGCTCTGTCGTAGCCGGCCGTGACTGGGAGACCCATGGGGCGGCGCACAATTGGCCCAGTGTCGTCCAGGGTAGGGGAGGGAATGGCCGGCAGGGATGTAGCTCAGTTGATAGAGCATGGTGTTTGCAACGCCAGAGTTGTGGGTTCGATTCCCACAGGGGGTATGAAAAAAATAAAATAATAATGTAAGTTGCTCTGGATAAGAGCATCTGCTAAATGATGTAAATGTATTCTATATCTATTGCATCTTAGCCTATTAAACTCTATAAGACATTGCTCAGACCATATATTATATATTTTTATTTCATGTCCTTTATTTAGATTTGTGGTTTATTAGGGTTTTGTTGTGTTGAACGTTAGATATACTTTTAGCGATACTGCCTTGCACTGTAAGAACTATATAAATAGAAGCACAAGATATGCACTTCGCATACATTGCATCCCAATATTATATTGCTTAATCCATTGTGTGTTTTGTGTGGATGTTGACCAATAGAACATTTAGAGCACAAGATTCGCATAAATTGATTGGACATCATTGATTGATTTGGATTTGGAGGAGGAGGGGCGATAAGAAGAGAGGAACCTAGGAAAGACTATTGAGAGAGCCTCAGTGGAGGAAGAATCATATTTTAAATAATGTTATGATTTAGAGGAGTGTGTAGACATACTGTACTCTGTAAAACGCTCGTATTCATTGTTTTTATTAGCAACATGTCATGTGATTTGCCACGTGGGCTTCTGCTAAATTGAGTCATTATTTTTCTAGATTATTTTCATTATGAATTAGTATCATCAATCAGTTTCATAAGAAGAAGAACAAAAGCACAGATTAATAAATAAAGGAACAATGTCCTCTGAGGTCTACCAGCTTCCTGAGTGAATGTGATTGGATACAAAAGAGTGTCACCTGCCAGTTGGACACAGACAGATGGCAGGACAGAACTTAGAGGACACACACTGTACGCAGGCAGACCCGCACGCATGCACAAACATCTGCATTTCCCCTTTAAAACCTTTGATAAAGATGCAGACAAATTTACTACACACACTTCTGAATATTTCCTCACACTGATGTTTTCACAGACAGCATAGATTGGTAAAAAGGCCCCTATTTGGCCATCGATGGCCAGTCACAGAGTGCAAGACATAACGTGACTTCCTTATGAACAATGCCACAAACAGGCCTTGCAAAATATGACGTCCTGTTTGAAAAGTGATTGGACACTTAAAACATTCTTTCAACTGCAGTGCACCACAGACAGACATCAGAGATGGACCAATTAAACAAAGTTACTGAAGAAAACCGGAGCACATCAGAGTAACTACTCAACTACTGGTCATTGAAGTTAGAATCATACAGTAGATATTACCATTAGGAGTCAGTTAGAAAGGTAATCATAAGTAAGTTAATACTGTATGTAAAAGTAAATTAGAATCATAGATATTACAATAAGAGGTCAGACATACTGAATTAGTTGATTCATTGATTGATTGGGGTAATCATTTATAGATTCGGTACGGTTAGTTAAGATGGCCAACTTCGACAACAAACAGGTGATTGAATTAAACGAAGTTACTGAAGAAAACCGGAACAGAGCAACAAGGAGCTTGAAGTCCGAGACCCATCTCTCAGGTAAGAACTAAGAATTCTGTGCATCTTATTCTCTCACACACAGGAGCTGATGTACGCAGGCAGGTCTGCCACGTACAAATGGAACACATTCACACGCACACACTAATACCACATAATGGAAAAACACTTGTACATTTTTGGGGGTTTCTGTCTTCTGTGTGGTTCAGTTGGTACGGAGCGTGGGGTTCAAAACCTGCTGGGGTCACGTACACTAAAATATATGCATTATATGTATTTTATCACTTTAGTTATTAGAACTATTTAAATAAGATTCATTTTAATTAACATTTTTAAAACAACAACACAGGGGACACCCCGCCACTGTTTTTGTTAAACAGCTAAGAGACGGGGCTGGAAAAATGTAACTACTCTTAAATTCATAGAGAGAGCTACAGTATGTATGCAAGGACTGACCATTATAAGAATATTCTAAGATGAATACACAACACAGAGGACTAGAGGTCAAGAGGGAATCAATGGAAATAGTTGTTTTTCAGTTCAACATCTGTTTAGAATCTGTGTAGGGGTTCCAACCAGGGACTCACAGCTACATGTGGCAAGTTCTCATTGGTCCAAGTTGTCTATACATTGAGCCTGAAACGGGATTCTTGGTATTTGGCCATTGGCCCAATTTTATTGCAAGGAATTCTAATTGGTCAGCCACCTGCTAGGATTGAGGCTATAAACCTCATCCTGTCTCTTTGTTCAGTGGAGAAATACTGAGGACAGGGAAGAATGAACATCTGCCATCTACTTTCCAGCATAATGACAATGATTTGATATCTTTGAATAAATTTGCTTTGGGGTCTGTGTTATTGAAGAACAATATCAACTGCTAACACCATTCATGATCAAAATGATAGTATGAACCATTTTAGGCTATACAGTGCTTGTTTATAATTCCATCGTAAAACAAGCTTATTTTGGGGGGTTCTGATGGGGTTAGACAGTTAAACTAAGCTCATGAGGTATTTCTAAGTTACATTTTTCAAGAATCAATAGGTAAATATCACTAATTTAAATTGATGTTAAAAAAATGGATATAGTAATCGCAGATTGCCCCTTTAAATCATGCTACAGCTATATTGTGTAACGTTGGTCCTTTCTTCATGCAGTAGCTTCCTGTTTATCATATTTGAGATGACCACACTCTTGAGCAAACTGTTGCTGCCAACCCAAAATTGGGGGAAAACCAATGACACACTGGGAATGTTAGGTTCTCAGAATTAGTTAAGGATTTGTAGGAGGTTGTTTGTTCTGTTTTGAATCATAATGTAGGATGGTGTGTGTGTGTGTGTGTGTGTGTGTGTGTGTGTGTGTGTGTGTGTGTGTGTTCCTCTGCAGATGGAAAACCAAGACTCTACAGCCTGGCTGCCGTGTGTTTTGGAGTCCTGTGTGTTCTACAAGTCACTCTCAACATCTCCCTGAGGCTGGCTTTCTGTGAGTGAGGCTTCATGCCAAATTACACCCTATTAGTTCACTGGTCAAATATAGGGTGCCATTCCAGGTTTAGTGCATTACTTTTGACCAGGACCCATAGGACAGATATGTATTTCATTATCACACTGTAGTTCTGATCTCACAAAGCAAGGATCACAATTCAGACTTGACTTTACATGGCTTGTGGGACCAATAGTTTGTCAATATTGTTGACACACAAAAAAAAGAATGTCGACATTGTCTACGGTAACTGGTGCCCTTGGCCTTGTGTAAGTCACTGAACACGGTGTACAATGTACACACCACAACCAGGGTCTGTGTCCCAAATGGAATCCTATCCTCTTTAAAGTGCACTACTTTTGACCAGGGCACATAGGGCTTTGATAGAAAGTAGCTCACCATATAATAAATAGGGTGCCATTTGGGACACATCCCAGGAACTTCTCTTTTTTTTCTTTCAGCCTGCTCTAACGAAGAGAGAACCCAGTTAGAGGACTGTTACAACACCACTGGACTGGCACAAGACAGAGACCAGCCAGATACCAGTAGTCTCATGGTTATGTCTACAGACATAGACCAGTGCAGGGCGAACATAAACCAGTTACTGAGGGAGAGAGACCGGTTACAGAGGGAGAGAGACCAGTTACAGAGGGTGAGAGACCGGTTACAGAGGGAGAGAGACCGGTTACAGAGGGAGAGAGGCCCGTTACAGAGGGAGAGAGACCCGTTACAGAGGGAGACAGACCCGTTACAGAGGGAGAGAGACCAGTTACTGAGGGAGAGAGACCCGTTACAGAGGGAGAGAGACCCGTTACAGAGGGAGAGAGACCCATTACAGAGGGAGAGAGACCCGTTACAGAGGGAGAGAGACCCGTTACAGAGGCAGAGAGACCAGTTACTGAGGGAGAGAGACCCGTTACAGAGGGAGAGAGACCCGTTACAGAGGGAGAGAGACCCATTACAGAGGGAGAGAGACCCGTTACAGAGGGAGAGACCCGTTACAGAGGGAGAGAGACCCATTACAGAGGGAGAGAGACCCGTTACAGAGGGAGAGAGACCCGTTACAGAGGGAGAGGGACCCGTTACAGAGGGAGAGAGACCCGTTACAGAGGGAGAGAGACCCATTACAGAGGGAGAGAGACCCGTTACAGAGGGAGAGAGACCGGTTACAGAGGGAGAGAGACCCGTTACAGAGGGAGAGAGACCGGTTACAGAGGGAGAGAGACCCGTTACAGAGGGAGAGAGACCGTTACAGAGGGAGAGAGACCCGTTACAGAGGGAGAGAGACCAGTTACAGAGGGAGAGAGACCCGTTACAGAGGGAGAGAGACCCGTTACAGAGGGAGAGAGACCATTACAGAGGGAGAGAGACCCATTACAGAGGGAGAGAGACCCGTTACAGAGGGAGAGAGCCCACGTTACAGAGGGAGAGAGACCCGTTACAGGGAGAGAGAGAAAGGAGAGACCCGTTACAGAGGGAGAGAGACCAGTTACAGAGGGTCAGAGACCCATTACAGAGGGAGAGAGACCCATTACAGAGGGAGAGAGACCCGTTACAGAGGGAGAGAGACCCGTTACAGAGGGAGAGAGACCCGTTACAGAGGGAGAGAGACCCGTTACAGAGGGAGAGAGACCAGTTACAGAGGGTCAGAGACCAAGAGAAAACTGACAAAAAACAGTTAGAGGAGCGTTACATTGCCCTGACTATAGAAAGGACAGGTTTAGTGACAGGGTCAGTCTTCTGACCAATGAGAAGGTGATGCTGGAGAAGAAGATCTCTGGGTGTGGTAAGTTGTCAAATCAGTCACTAGGGCTGCATCCCTCTTATCTACCCTTCATTCTCCCGAAGTGTGCACTTGTAGTGTGCACTTGGACACTGGCTGCGTTCCGATTCTCTAACCTTTTCCAGAAGTGTGCACTTGTTCAGTCATGCATTTAAATGCATTGGATTGGTGCAAGTATGGCTGGAAGGAGTTTTCACCATATTCCTTTAACTCCATGAGGGAGAGTGTACATTTCAGGAGAAGGGTAGAGCTTCGGAATTTAACCTCCTGTGTGCACCCTCGTTATGGATTTACCAACAGTTAATTACAATGTTAGAATGTGTTGTTCAATACGTGTAACATACAGTATATTTCTCCAACAGAGCTAAACAGTTGTCTAAAAATCAGGAAAACCTGTCGTGAAGGAAACCTGTCCCAATAATCTCTACTTTCTCCAGAGGTGTGCACTTGTTCACTTCCCTTCATGGATTTAAAAAGAAATGACTGGTATATAGGAGTTCCCTCTAGTGCCCATGCCTACACCAACCAATGCTTTTAGATTTGTGGGAAGTAGTGGATGAGTGCACACTTAAGGAGAAAGAAGAGATTTTTGGAGCGCAAGCCAGATCTGAATATTTGAAAACCAATATAGCGGACACTGTGTGTGTTGTCTGTAGGTACTGGAAGAGTGGTGGAGCAGATCTGGTGATAAATAGCAAGGAGGAGCAGGTGTGAGAGAGGAGAGAGGGAGAGAGAGGGGAGAGGGAGAGAGGGGGAGAGAGAGAGCGAGAGAGATGTAACATGAATTAACTGATATTTGACATGAGGGAAAGGGAGAAGGGGGAGATAGAGGAGGGGGAGCGAGAGGAGAGAGGGAGAGGGGGAGAGAGAGAAGAGATATGTAATATGAATTAACTGATGTGACATGAGAGAGGAGAGGGAGATAGAGGTAGGAGAGAGAGGGGAGAGCGAGAGGAGAGAGGGGAGAGCATTAGAGAGAGAGAGAGAGAGGAGAGAGAGAGAGAGAGAGAGAGAGAGAGAGAGAGAGAGAGAGAGAGAGGGGAGAGAGAGATAGAGAGATAGAGAGGGGAGAGAGAGGGGAGAGGGAGTGAGAGGGGAGAGAGGGGAGTGAGCGAGGTGATAGAGAGAGGGGTGATGGAGGAAGTGGAAATAGAGAGAAGGGAGAGTGTGATAGAAATGGGATAGAGAGAGTGAGAGGGGAGAGCAAAAGGTGTGAGGGGAGAGAGGGGAGATGGAGAGGGGCGAGGGAGAAAGAGAGAAGAGAGAGAGGGGATAAAGGAGAGAGAGGGAGAAAGAGAGGGGGGAGAGGGGCGAGAGAGTGAGTAAGCAAGGGGATATGTGAATTGAATGAACTGATATGTGACATTAATTAATTCTAAAATTAATGCTCTGCCCCACCTGCCCTGAATGACGGGTCGCAACTGCCTGTCCTTGATTCCTTCTCAAAACACATTGGATGAGAACTTCTGAGGGGAGGGACCTTGGATCTTCTCTTCCAATGTGGTTTGGGAATGAGGCGAGGAGAGAGGACACAAGGAAATGAGGGAAGGTGAATTCAGAAAGAGCCAAGGGGTGCGTTCCAATATTCTATATTTTCTCCATAAGTGTGCACTTGCCCACTTCCCTTAATGGATTTGAAAGGAAATCACTGGTGTGTGGAAATTCCCTCTAATGCACATGCCTACACCAACCCAATGCTTTTAGATCCGTGGGAAGTAGTGGTTGAGCGCACACTTCAGGAGAAAGGAGAGATTATTGGAACGCAACCCAGATCTGAATATTTGAAAACCAATATGGTGGACGCTGTGTGTGTTGTCTTTAGGCACTGGAAGCGTGGTCAGTCGGACCATGGAGTTTCCAACAACGAGGACTGTGCCGAGGAATACCATCTGGACGGCGTTTTGGCCAACCGGAACGATGCGACCACATGCTGCACTGGATCTGTGAGAAATGACATATAGGTCAAATCCACATCTTGTTTAAATGTGTTTATTATATTATAATCTTCAACTGTTTGTTGTACATTAACATTTTCCCAAAGATTGTGTAATTAACTGTGAGCACATGCATTTACTTGTACATGGCATTATCATTCTTGCTTTCAGCTGTAATTCATTTTCGGCAATAGATTATTTGCAGCCTTTTGGATCAGTCACAACACTGTATCAGTTTCAGCTTTGTCCTCTTCCCTCTTAAACAGTTTATTAATGAAGTATTACTTGTATGAAATTGTATGAAATGGCACTGCTTCTATGAAATGATGTAATGGTATGAAATGGCACTGCTTCTATGAAATGATGTAATGGTATGAAATGGCACTGCTTCTATTAAATAAGAAATGTGAGGATGCTGTGTTCTGTTTAGTGGCCATAGGGACTATAGCACATGAACCTTTAAACGTAGGTTAACAGAAAGAAGAAAACATTAAGGTAAATATGTAAATGTTTTAGCTTTGCTTTAGGACTCTTATCCCCTATACTGAAAAAACATGTGCAAACTCTACACACGGTGCCAACGCTTAGCAAGTCTTTCTAACAATATTTCTGGACTGATATCAATCATCGTTTTCACACTGACCACATTAATTAAATTCAGCCCTCCTCCCAGTCCTACTTTTGACCACAGCCTTATGGACCCTGGTCGAAAGTAGTGCACTAAATAGGGAATAGGTTGCTATTTGTGACACACTTTGGCCTCTCCCCAAGCCTGACATAAAAAAAATACAAATACACATAATAAATCCTCAATTCCTCACCCATTCAATACAAAACATTGTTACCTGTTGAGGTAACTTGGTTGTGTGAATAATTCCTTAACCATATACTGGTCTAAAGACACAGTTCATGAAGCAGGAGGACGATGCAGCTGATCTGGATACAAAATAAGTTGTTAAAGGCAGAGCAAGGGGCGTAACTTTCACTATTCTGAAATAGCATTTTCCAGTTATGTCATTGGAATGTGATTCAAAACGAAGTTCCGATGTGCTTTAGGACCATGCGGACGTCTCTGAGCGGTCGGGTAGGCTGTTGAGTGTTTATCTGACTGGATGAAAAAAATATATATATATGTTTTTTATATATGTATATATATAAGTTACGCCCCTGGGCAGAGCCATACATATAACAGGCATTACACATTTCTATATTGATGGTGATTACGACAGACATGCAGAATCAAATGCAAGGTTATCTTCCATCAGAAACATCAACTTCCTGTTTACAGGTCACATGACAGCTAAGAAACTGAGCTTGTAGAAAACAGCCAATAGGGGGAGACAGACACTAATAAAAGTAGGTATTCATACACATGTAACAGGAGAGACTAAAGCCTTGTTCACATTGGCAGTTTGAAATGACTTAAATCCTTTTGTTTTGCATATCCGATTCGAATCTGTTCTTTTTCCTGCAGTCTGAACAGCCAAAAACCAAATGGAATCGGATATTTCAAGCCACATTTCAAATAACCTTCCTAGGTGGTTTGAAGTCAGATACAAATCTGGTTCCTTGCCATGCGACTTGTGTCTGAATGGTCAAATTTGATTTGTTTGCCCTCAAGTAGTTTTTTCGACTGTAATTCAGCATATCTTGTTGCTTGCTAGCTACTCTGTTGACAGTTTGACAAGAACATGTGGTAGCTAACTAGCTTGTTAAAGATGCACTATGCAGAAATCATTTCGCCATTTCCTGGTTGCTAAAATTCGAATAGTTTGCCTAATTCCAGTTTATGTGACAAACAAGAAAGTACAGTGTAGAGAATAATTGTACCATCTAAACCGCCGTTAAATATATTTTCAGCTGTTTGAAGCTAGTGTACAAAACCGAAAGTAAAAGACAATAGAACAGCTCTAACTCTTCTTAGATCGCTTATGTCTGGAATCGGCCCTACACACACACCTTAAATTTGTTACGCCATAATATGCTTGTGATTGACTTTACAAACCTCAGTAAAGTTTCAGTTTTATAGCAGCATCTAGTGGTCAATATGAGTAATAGGCATTACCCTTTATTTATTTATGCCAGGGCTGGCCAACCCTGTTCATGGAGTGCCTTCAAACTCAACTCTGGACCTCGAAGCCAGTTCCACTGCATTTTTTCATTGTTCCCCTATAATCAGGGAGTGGTTTAGACCTGGGACACCAGGTGTGTGCAGTTAATTATCTGGTAGAAGAGAAAACCAGCAGACTCCGGACCTCATAGGGTAAGAGTTGAATAAACCTACTGTGGAGCAGGGCTCTCCAACCCTGTTCCCGGAGAGCTACTGTTCTGTAGGTTTTCGCTCCAACCCTAACCTAATGTAGTGCACCTGATTCTAATAATTAGCTGGTTGAAAAGCTGAATCAGGTCAGTTAAAACTTTGGTTGGATCGAACAGGAACAGCGTTGGAGTTAAAACCTAGAAGAGAGTTTCTCTATTAGGAACTATTTGTAAAATGTACTATTTGACTTAACAAAATGTAGTTGTAGGTTTAACATTGGGAATAAAAATACTTAAAATGAAATATGATTTATTTATTTTTACACACGGCCTCAGTGAATTACCATTTAGGCTTTCAAACTTGTTGATCTGGTACGAAACATACAGAAGGCAGGTCTTGTCACAGACACAATTACAGTACTTTTACCCCCACATGGTCTGACCCATATTATCACGCTTAGCCTACATTTACCAAAAGGTATATAGTCAGGTCCAAAAACTTTTTTTTTTCAATGTATAAAATCTAAACAAACAAAAATCTCAAAAAGGGTCAAAATTATTGACACCACTGTTTTAAATACTCCAACACCCTCCCTATGCGAGGACAACACTGAGACTAGCGTGTTTATCCTCCCACTTGGATGACGCTTCCGGAAGCCTTAGAATGAGGGCCAGGTTTTCAGGATGGGTAATGTACTGTATAAGTACACATTCATTACAATCCTGTGTGACACCTAGTAATTACATTGTACTTAAGCAGATATTACA